TATGTTCGCATCTCGGGCAGGAAACTGACTACCCGGAATCAGGTTTTCGGTTTTTTCAAAGCCCCTCCAGGAGAATTCCGAGATATTATCTCGATTATGCCGCGAATGTTTCCTTCCAAATCCTTTCCAATTCTCCATTCATCAAGCATCCCATCATTTTACTGTATACAGCACAGCTTTTTTTTTTATTGCTAGTAGGGTGGGACTAAGTCCCTTCTACTGCGGCCATTTCTGGCCTATTGTAACAGTCCCAGATGATAGGAGAGGGTGATTGGGGAGCAATTGGTGGAATGAAGATTGGCAGAGGAACCGAAGTACTCTGAGAAACAGTGCCTCAGCGCCACTTCTCCACCACAAATCCCACTTGACCAGACCTGGGATCGAAACCGGGGCGCCGCGGTGGGAAGCCAACGACGAACCGCTTGAGCTATGGCGCGGCCCTTACAACACAGATACTAAGACTGTTGTGAAATAAACCGTGTTCAGTTACACTAAGTAGACTTTCCAAACTGGAGTGTGGGTTTGAGTCTTGCTGGGCGGATTTCCCAAGTCATGAATACCCCGTGGAACAGAGAGAACATCTGCAGACGTGACATCACTTCCTCCATAATATTGTACACGGTGATCCTAGAGTAGTAGAGCACAGGAGTTTCACTTTCATGTCACTTCACTGGACAGGAATGCCCACGCAAGAGTAGAAAGGTGTTCTCCGTTGTGGTCAGCCTGCAGAAGGAGTTTACAGATATGTTCTCTGTGAATTTATGTCCCTCAGTTATGTTATGTTCAGATAGGTGTATCAAATGTATCATTGCCATCTACATTTCAGGGCATAGCAAACATTCCTGTTCCAGCTTCATCTCTCCATCTATTTCTTGGATGTCACATGGCTCTTCTTCCTCTTGGTGAATAGTGGAAGCCTTGTATTTCTTGTCTCTATCACCTAACCAACAGGCCACATAAGGTAAAGATATCGCTGTAACAGGCCATGGAGGCCCATAGGGTTATGAGATGTCGAGGCTCCGACATTTTCTAGACAGTCGCTTCACAGATGTCGGTGAAGTTGTCAGCCTTACGTGCCGGCCGCCCTTTACCGCTCAGGAAAAATTCTGGTACATATTTCTCTTAGAGGCGGACTCGACCCCGAGGCTATAGTGCGGCTAGAAACATTAGGTCAATTGAAAAAGCCAATAACCTCATCGGGAATCTAACCAGCGACCTTCCGGCTTGCAGCATAGTTTCTCAACCAACTACGCTACCGCGTGCCCAGCAAGCTACATGGTACTTTATTTTATCTCAAATGGACTACATCAACACAGCTAATATTACATTAGATATCGTAAAACTATGTTTTAGACAGAGATAAGTAGCTGAAGGATCGAGTTATCTCAGTCGGTATAGCGACGGGTTAAGAGCTAGAAAGCCGGCCTCCGATTCCCAGCGGATTAACATTTTTAGGGTCCAGACTGGCTCTGGGTCCCACCTAGCCTCCTATCCAATGGGAACTGTGGGATATTTCCAGGGGGTTAAAACGGCAGGAGCTTGAAGTTGACCACTCAACTCCATCTAAAGCCAGTGTCAAGAATGTTGTAGCTACACCTCCACTCCCCCAAACGTCTTCATCATGTGACCCTTAATTTATTAAACGCAGTCCTGACTGTATCTCTTAGTCAACAATCGAAATCTTCGACTAAAAAATGGATAAATAATAGTTCTCAGAGTAATGAACTCAGTCCAGATCCTCCAGTCCTGTTTCTTTAAGATACATTTTAATATTATCTTCCCATCTATGCCTAGGTGTTCTAGATTGTCTCTTTCTTCAAGTACTGCCAAGCTATGTTTACTTCTCTACTTTCGCATGCGCACTACATATCCCACCAATACAATATTAATAATAGATGAATAGGTACGTAATACAATAACTCTACGAAAGGATTCTATAACGACGATCGCGTTCGGAAACTGCATGTACTCCACACTGGAGTACGCTTTCCCGTTCTTGTATAATCTTACAATTGCTTAAAAGTGTCACACATGGAGCAATAATGTTGGATGTTAATATGTCTCGGAGTTACTACGTCACATCCCTGTTTCATAACCATGTTGTGGGTGCTATTGTTTTGAAGAATGTGAGTTGTACAGTTTTTGTCATAATGCAATTTCCTGCATTACTTAATCATAATCTGTACAAGTTTGTACGCTCTGTGTATGAGCTGAGTGACGTTCTCATTGTGTTCACTGTGAAGTACTGTCTTCTGGCACATGCCGGCTTATAGTGAGGGAGTTCAGCGGTGTTTCTGCAGAACTCACTGCCTCCATCCACAGAGTCATACAGCAAACCAAACAATCAACCTACAAGAAGCAATCAGAGACTATTTCTTTTTGTCTCCCATTGGTTGCTTGTTTTTGTCCAGGAAGTTGTAGATAGAGGCAGAAATATCTGTGAATTTCTGCCGGACTACACGGTGTCACATCCCAAAAGGCAATGAACTTTATGGATACCGCCGTGAAAGCCTCGAATCTCGCAAAGAATTTCCATTACAAAAACAAGAGGCTTATTTTCTTTAGGGAAAATAACCGGTATTTGTTTTTACAATCATTAGTTCAAATGTAAAGTTATCTCTCTGCTTAATTAATTTAGCACTATGCGAAAGGCCGAGCCATAGCTCTAGCGGTTAGTGGCTGGCTTCCCACCGCGGCGGCCAGGGTTCGATCCCGGGGACTGGTCATGTGGGATTTTTGGTACACAAAGTGACGCTGAAGAAGGTTTTCTCCGAATACATTGGTTTCCCCTGCCAATCTTTATTCCACCAATTGCTCCACAATCACCCTCACCTATCATCTGGGGCTGGTACAATAGGCCAGAAGTGGCCGCAGTACAACGGACTTCGTCCCACCCCACTAGCAATAAAAAAAACACTATGTGCTGAAGACATGGGTAGTCGAGGTATAGTTCCACTATTCTTGCCTTCGGCACTATATGGAGGTGAGTAATTAGCTTCACGCCTCCGCCGTTTTACGCCCAGGGAAAGAGCCCCCGGTACCCAATGTATAGGAGTCTGGGTGGGACCCAGAGCCGGTATAAACGACGTGGAGAAGAGAAGACTATTGTCTCGAACTTCGGTAGTCCATCCCGTAGCCAGTCGCTATACCGACTTATCCTATGGTCTTTAAAATGATTAATTAGCCTTTTCAGGAGTCATTTCAGAAAAGGAAGTCCTCAAAACTCTGAAGATTATGACAGCGGCTTAATGCCAAAAATCACTGAAGTGCCATAAAACAAGTTGTATGATTGGACAGATGATCAGTCGTCGGTTGTTGACAGCAGAAGTCCAGGTTCAATCCCAGACTAGTCCATGTGGGATTTGTGTTTGACAAAATGACACTAAGCCAACATTTTCCTCCAGTCCTTCCGCTTTCCCCCCGGGCAGTTATAATTCCACCAGTTTCTTCCCCTTAATATACTCGACATGAGATGAGTTACGAAGCTTCTCTTTCTGTTATAAAAATTTCACTGCGACATATCGCTTCTTAGGGATAGAAAGCTTGCTGTGTTGCTGTGCACCAATCATTTTTTCTGCTGATATGGATAAAGATCTCCCTTAACGGAAACAGAAATGAGTTTATGAGATCACCACGCTGTCTCTGCTTGCGTATCTCCCACTTCGACATCTGAACCACATTGCCTTAGTATCCGTGGAACAGAATCCTTACTCTCGGGGTTAGGTATGTCTGGTGCAAACAGAGAATTTGTGAACATACGAACCGTAGTATGACCGTTCAGTGAATTATATTGAATCTGAAGAGTAGAAAGCATTCTGCATAAGGGGGATATTACTAAAATGGATATAGAGAAGGGGATTTTGAAGATTTTCTTCTACCATAAGGCAGAATATTACGATTTTAAAGCCGTGAATAGCATATAACTGTCCCAGTACAGTACCCACTGGAACATTTTGTAACGTGCTAGAGGATCCATAACAGATGCCCTATATACGTCTGTGATATAAAATTAAGTGACGTATAAATATGTCATATTTTAACGTTATAAAGTAATAAGTAAATTATAAAACACGGAGCAAGAAGTATGCCATGACGGAAAATAATATAACATAATATAGGCTTGAAATAAAGTAGGCGCGTGTATGTCAGATATGTCCAATTATGAAACGCGCTAAAAGAAGTACACGTTAACAGGAGTTGGATGTGTTCTGTTGATGTCAGTAACATCTTATTCTGAACTCTGCAATGAAGCACGTATACAACTGTAAAATATATGAAATGCTCTAAATAGATACTAATAATTGTTTTATTACACTTTGGCTAATGAGGGTGGAGACGATACTAATTATCATGATTTTGAGTGTGAACGACCTTTAATATGAGGGTTGAAGTTACCATGAAATCTACTCTCGATTCATGAATACGTCACTTCCTGTGATCTCCTTTTCTTAGGAATGTGACTTCCTCCTACTTCCTTCAAAGTGTTATATTATTATGTGTGTGGGGAGCAAGATCAAAGACACAAAATATATTGTTTGCACTTGAGACGGAGTTTATATCATTTATCGTATGGAGTGCAACAGGATGCTTAAATATAATATTCTAGTTTCTAGTTATAACATTTCTCAATAGCTGTCTGTCGATATAATCTACCCTCTAGGGTTATTCGCCCTGTGTTTGAAGTGCTGCAACACAGGGCGAATAACCCTAACAATTTTAAAATTTTAAAATTTGGACAAGAATTTAAAGGTTTAAAATTAGAACTAAAGATTTTAATATGGTGCTATTACAATAAACTCAAAATTAACGTGTGTGAAGTAATCTACGGGTGGACAGCTATCAACGAAGTAGAAGTTGATAATGACAGGGAGAGTGTTTTAGATGTTAAATTTTGAACTGGGTGCAGTGTGACAGCGACGTGAGTGTTATACACCTGATGATGGCCGTCTGAGGCCGAAACATGTAGTGTGGGGAGCAAGATCAAAGACACAAAATATATTGTTTGCACTTGAGACAGAGTTTATATCATTTATCGTATGGAGTGCAACAGGATGCTTAAATATAATATTCTAGTTTCTAGTTATAACATTTCTCAATAGCTGTCTGTCGATATAATCTACCCTCTAGTCCAATTTCTTCCTATGTTACAGCCATTACTTAGCTGGAATGAGTAATATTATGTGTTGGGCACAAGAACTCTTTTACTATGGAAGAATATCCAAGAGAAAACTTTCGTGATAGTAGTATTAAAACTTCATTTTCTAATAATTGAGAGATCTCAAGTTATACTGTAAGGTTTCATATTTGATAATGACAAAGGTGTTGCATGAAGCTTTATAATAAGTATTGATTTATATCCATCCAGTACACTTCTGCTATTTTCTTTCCAGGGAATTCACTCAATGGAAGAGTAACTTGACAGTTGAACCTGAGGATGTGGAAGCAACATTGGATCAGCTGATATATGGCAAGGAGATGCTGAGTAAGATTCTAGAAATATCTGCAACCGAAAAGCCATTCTGAATTGGTAGGTAATAAACATCTGAACTCCACTGTATGTCATGGACATACAAACAAAGCAGTTTACATTTATACACTGGGAAACACGGATCACATTCTAAACTGGACAAAGGTCATGAATCAATCAAGTAATCCAGTTAGGACATAGGAATTAGAAACTTCTGATGCAATGAACTGTTAGATGAATCATCATATATTCACATTTTATTTTCTGCTAACATACTATGTGTTCTGACATTCTTTATGTCATTATCGGGTATAATATAATTGAAAAGTTGTGTAAGTCCTACTGTTGGAGGTTTAAGCAAAACTGACACAGCTAGTAGGCAGCTGCAGGTTATGCAATTAATGCAGTGCTAAAGTGTTTTTGTTCTCAAATAAATATGTTTGTAAAAATGTTTTTCAGGTTATCATTTTGTATAAAAAGCAAATCTGTAGTATGACATGACTTTCTGATCACTCTGTATTGATATACATTCTTCACTAATACTAATAACAGATCTGACAATATATGATTCTGTATTTCAGCATCCCATTGCAATTGTTCAACTTAACGTCCACTATTTATTGTCTGTCGATATTGCCTAGGCACTAGTAGAGACAACACCACACGCTGTGGAAGAAACATGCAAACCAGGGGCATATGGCAGTCAAAACTGAAAAGTAGGCTACGAACGTGAGGGGCAAGCTGCTGAGACAAAACACCCTGAACAGACATACATTTATGAAAATGGACGACACCCCGTGTGAGGTGAAATAATGTGCACCAAAATAATGTGGGTATAATAGAAACTTTAAAGGCTTTTATCTGGTTTTACCTTGAAAAGAGGACTACAGCGTGTGATTTTAACACAAACTAAGACAGTGTAGCAGTTTTAACATAATTTAATAAAATATTTGTGACATATTAAGGCACCTGAAGATGGCGGTTTGGGTTTGAAACATGTAGTGTCAGGAAGTATAATGTTAAACTAAAATTAAAATTGAGTAGTTAATGGAAGAGTGTTGCAATATTGATGGATGATAAATAATGGATGTTAAGTTGACAATATATGTATCAATTTTCTGCCAATGTACAAGCTAAATCTGTCAGTTATACTGTGAATGTAATGCCATATTGAATCTTGGATCACCCAATATATTAATAGTACACGATTAGGGAGTGTGTGAAGATTTGACAATTAGTTTACTTAATATCTACTCTTTCATGTAACCGTTTATTAAACAGACTTCTCACAAAATTATGACAATGTAATATAAACCTTTGCCTTTGGAAATAAAGGTTCCTGGTACAATTTTAAGCCGCAGGAGATGAAGACATTGTCATTGGAATGGCTGGTGCACTCAACTGTCCTGATCTTCAAGACAACTGAGTTTCAAACACTGTAACTGATAGATTTGTTGTTTTCAGGAGATGCACAGAGGGAGAGTTCTCAGGGATGGTTCCTGGATGCACTAAAATGGGCAGACAAGCTTGGGGTTGCTGCACAGATGGGAGTGCAGGCCATCATGTGGCAGCCTGACCTCCATGGACTCTTTACACCTACACTAGTAAGTACCAACATTCAGGGTACAGGCATCTACTCTTTGTGTTCACAACCACAACCTGGAAGTGACAATTGTTCCTGAACATATGCTACACTCAATTACGAAGACAGAAGATAGAAGTATTCCTGTGCTTAATTAAGAACCATTCATTAATTCCCTTTATTTTTCGTATATCCATACAGGTAAAAAACCTAGGATATGGAAATAGTCCCTTTGATAATAGATATGTCCAGATACATATAAAAATTACATGCGTTACATAATTGAAATCACATACATTAGTCAGTTAACATAAATAATAAAATAAAAAATAAAAAAACTTAATACAATTTAATTAATAAACATAATTTAAAAGAACATTTCTATAAAATTTAAAATTAATACAATGTAATTTAAATTACCTAAATTAATTGAAATAAATGCATTACAAATTTACACAATTATAATCCATTATATTGATAATATTCATTCATGGAGAAAAAAAATGATGATATAAAAACTCTTCAGTGAAGGTTTAAAACTTCTCTTATCAGTAGCCTTGCTCAGCCAGCATAGTGACCAGGCTATGGGCTGAATGACCAAGGAATCAGAGTTTCATTTCTGACAGGGCAAGAGACCCACACCNAATTCCCTTTATTTTTCGTATATCCATACAGGTAAAAAACCTAGGATATGGAAATAGTCCCTTTGATAATAGATATGTCCAGATACATATAAAAATTACATGCGTTACATAATTGAAATCACATACATTAGTCAGTTAACATAAATAATAAAATAAAAAATAAAAAAACTTAATACAATTTAATTAATAAACATAATTTAAAAGAACATTTCTATAAAATTTAAAATTAATACAATGTAATTTAAATTACCTAAATTAATTGAAATAAATGCATTACAAATTTACACAATTATAATCCATTATATTGATAATATTCATTCATGGAGAAAAAAAATGATGATATAAAAACTCTTCAGTGAAGGTTTAAAACTTCTCTTATCAGTAGCCTTGCTCAGCCAGCATAGTGACCAGGCTATGGGCTGAATGACCAAGGAATCAGAGTTTCATTTCTGACAGGGCAAGAGACCCACACCACTTCTGGGAGCCAACCAGCTTCTTATGCAGTGGGTACTGGCACTGTTTCCCAGGGAGTAAACTGGAAAGATTGTATTATATTTGTACTTATTGTAAGTTCAAGAGATCAAAAAATGGATATAGAACATGTCATATAATAATATAGAGCATAGAATACATACATNGATATGTCCAGATACATATAAAAATTACATAAGTTACATAATTGAAATCACATACATTAGTCAGTTAACATAAATAATAAAATAAAAAATAAAAAAACTTAATACAATTTAATTAATAAACATAATTTAAAAGAACATTTCTATAAAATTTAAAATTAATACAATGTAATTTAAATTACCTAAATTAATTGAAATAAATGCATTACAAATTTACACAATTATAATCCATTATATTGATAATATTCATTCATGGAGAAAAAAAATGATGATATAAAAACTCTTCAGTGAAGGTTTAAAACTTCTCTTATCAGTAGCCTTGCTCAGCCAGCATAGTGACCAGGCTATGGGCTGAATGACCAAGGAATCAGAGTTTCATTTCTGACAGGGCAAGAGACCCACACCACTTCTGGGAGCCAACCAGCTTCTTATGCAGTGGGTACTGCCACTGTTTCCCAGGGAGTAAACTGGAAAGATTGTATTATATTTGTACTTATTGTAAGTTCAAGAGATCAAAAAATGGATATAGAACATGTCATATAATAATATAGAGCATAGAATACATACATAAATATTACACAGCTAGACAGTACAGTAAATACAACAATAATAAAAATTATCTATTTAGATATTCATCCACAGTATAAAACGTATAAGTATTCAAGAAATGCCTTAATATAACTTTAAACTTTTTAAAATTATTAGACGTGTTCTTGATCTCTTTGGGCAGTTTATTGGAAATTTTATACCTGCATAATAAACTCCTTTTTGATAAAAAGTTGAATTAGCTTGAGGTAGACAAAAAATCTTGTCTTTGTCTGGTATCAATAGTATGAGAATCAATGTTTGATGGAAAAAGAACTTTATTTTGCAATACAGATACTAACAACAAAAATATATATTGTGATTCAAATGATAAAATATTTGACTCTTTAAATATGTTTCCACACGAAAGTCTATTGCCATATCCCAACATCACTCTGATAGCTGTGAAGCTAACTGCTTACTTCATTTGATACTGAGGTTATGAATGACTCTCTGCTGAGTCTATATAAATTATGATATAACATCCAACTAGTCAAAGGGCAGTAGTTCATCCCTGACACGCTGATATGACATAATGTTTCCTTGATACAGGACTATTGGGTCTCGCTGGTACATAAGGCCGTGGTTGGGAGAGTTGTTTTTGATGTGAAGCAAAGCTACACCACCAACAGTCACATTCATATGTTCTGCCATTGTACACACCATTACACAACTTGGCTGTTTGGGGAGGCAGTCAGCTACAAGCATGGGGCCATCATGTGCTTCTGCATCAGCCACTGGAACACCAAGGTCAAGATCAATTTGAAGCTTGGTTCCACAAGGCAGAGGAATGAGGACGTCCATCAGTACCTGTTAACATCTGCTGGAAATGGACAGAAATCAAGGTAATGCATAAAAAACATAATGGTTAAACAGCCAGGGTAGAATGCAATGTTATATGTAGAATCGATGAGGCAGTTGAGATGGCTGTATTGTGGCCAGAAGAAGACTCTCTGGCCCTGCTGGAGACTGAATCCCAGTTTTTAGCCTATAACAGATCATTTTACTGATTGAGCTATCCTGCTTTCAAATGGCAATGAACCCCATGGAGAAGAATCCTTCTTGAGAAAAAAAAATATTCGTTTAGCTACTCAACAAATTCACCNCCTTTCGTGAAACCTGAAGGTTCATTGCCAATGGCATATCACTGGTGCCTGGCTTGAGACACATGAATTTATTCCACTTCCCCTTACCATATTTATTAAAGTCCATTTTACTATAATTAACACTGTAATTAATATTTTTGGATGAATGGGTGGATTTGAAGTATGAAGAGTGGGATGTTCTGGGTTGTAATGCTGTGTTGTTTGGCACAAGTCCATGTTCCTCCAAAATGTCAATGGGCTTTTTTCTAACTACATGGCCTTAGAACCCAGAAGATCATACTCTTCATAATCACCAGTCTGGGAACCTCAAATCTAGGGGGTGGAAGTCCATTTTTCCAACCTCATTTACAGCTAGAAGTCTCAGAGGTCTGCCTATGATTCATCCAACAGCATTTACATAATTCGCTCCACTAGCAATAATGGATTGTCTGTTTTCATTTCTTTCAGAGAAACACTTCTGAATGGAAAACCCTTAAATCTTTAGGATGAAGGTATGCTGCCAGTCCTGTCTTCAGATATCCATCACACAGGACAGAATACTATTGTGACACTCCCTCCTGCTTCCATTGGCTTCTGGGTAGTTCCCAATGTTAAGGTAAAATCATGTCTCACAGCTCCATTTGGCAGCAGATCAGAGGAAAGTAGCAAAGCCACACATCACAGTCAGGCACATTCAGGTCAGGTAAAGAGTGAATTTATCAAGCAGTACTTAGATGAAATTGAAAGGAAATGACATTCTAAAAAACCTGTACATACATACATGTACATTTGCGTTTCAAAATATTCATAAATGTTCCACCTGCACCGAATATAAAACATGTCAACAAGCAAACAAAACATTGGACACTTATACATTCACAAATAAAATCACTAGCATATATAATCCATACTTGTCAAAATACATACAATAGTTAAAAGGCAATACAAATTGCAGCAAGTATATATAAGCACAGCCAAGGACATAGTGTGTAGTGAAGTGTGCTTTACTATCAGACACCTCTTTTCCTTAGCTGTAGGTCTTGACAGAAGAGCAAGAATTCCTCAACTGTATAATAGTAAAGGATAAGGGGAGCATTGCCAATGTTTTTAATGAATATTTCTCTTCAGTTGCATAAACAATTATAAAAGATTCAAATAAGGATAATAATGAACCTTGGAGTAACATTGACCCATTATATTATTTGGATCGTAATTACAACTCTTCTTTTGAAAATATCAGATGGCATTACACCTCAACTGCTGAGATTAGGAAAATAATTAAATCTTTAAAGACTAAATCTTCTTGCAGATATGATGAAATCTCTATAAAAATATTAAAAACAAGTATGCCATATATTATTTCACCACTCACCTATATTTGTAATGAAACCTTGGCTCAGGGAATCTTTCCTGATAGACTGAAGTATGCTGTGATCAAGCCAATTTTTAAAGCTGGTGATAAATATGAACCAACTAACGATAGGCCTATATCCTTATTATCATCATTTTCTAAAATATTTGAAAGGCTGATGTACAATGGATTGTATGATCATATAAGCCACAATAACATATTAGATGATAATCAGTTTGGCTTTCGGCCTAATTCATCTACAGAAAAATCATCCTTTAAATTAATAGATGAAATTTTAAAATCCATGAATAATAGACATTCAATTGGTGGGATATTTTGTGACTTACAAAAAGCATTTGACTGCGTTAGTCATGATATACTAATATAAAAGGCAGAGTTTTATGGCATTACTGGGAAATTTGGTGTTTTAATTAAGTCCTATCTTACTGGAAAATATCAAAGAGTGAACCTAGACACTAATGATTCTGTTAATTGCTCTTCGTCCAGGTGGGTGGAGGTAAAATTTGGTGTGCTGCAAGGTTCTTTCCTTGGACCGCTTTTTTTTTTCTTCTGTACATAAATGATATAACTAAAGTTTCCATTAAAGGGGCTAACATCTTTTTAGATGCCGATGATACAAGCATAATTGTAACTAATCCTGAACCCAATGGCTATAACTCAATTATGAATAAAATATTCCACGAGGTTAATAAATGGTTTAAATCGAACTTGTTAACTCTGAACTTAAAAAAAAACTTACCATTTGCAGTTTACAGCAATGAACCATGACGAACTAGACAACTACATTAGTTTCAGGCATAAACAAGTAGTCAATTCCAACTGCATTAAATTTTTGGGTTTACGAGTATATATCGATAACAAATTAAGTTGGAAAAATCATATTGATTATCTCATTGCTAAACTAAGTTCAGCATACTTTATAATGAGGGCAGTTAAACCCATCCTGTCCTGCAGCAGTCTGAGGATGCTTTACTTTGCTTACATACACTCCATCATGACTTATGGTATTATTTTTTGGGGTAATTCTCCATATAGTATAAAAATTTTTAGGATACAAAAAAGGGTAATAAGAATAATGAAGGGCTTGAAGAAAAGAGATTCGTGCAGGGATTCATTCCGGGAAATGAAAATTTTACCTTTATGTTCTCAATACGTGTATTCCCTGATGAAATACATTGTAAATAATAGACACATGTTCTTAAGGAATTCTGAAATTCATAGTATCGGTACTAGACAAAACAACAATATATTTCCTCTAAGTGTTTCTATGACTAAAGTTCAAAGGGGAGCTTATTACTCAGGTATAAAGATCTTTAATCACTTACCTGCAAAACTCAATCTAATGATCAAAAATCTTTTGAGGCAGCCTTAAAGAGATTCTTATATGCTGGTTCTTACTACTCACTGAAAGAGTATTTTAGTTATCAAACTCTCGAAACATAGATGTTGAAGTTTACATATCTTTTTTAGTTCTTTTAACTTTTTGGTATGTTTACTTGTACCTGTCTCTGTTGGACCAGTGCCCCATGGAGTATATTGTTGTAATTTGTTTGTAGCATAAAAACAATCTGTATATCTCTTTTTTTTTTAATACATTTGGACAAGTGCCCTAGTGCACAGTTGATCATGTATCTTTGCAGAGTGTATTAATTATCACTGTATTTTTACTTCTAAGCATAAATACTGAATTGTACTTGTTTCTTTTATAACTTTTCTGGATTGTTAGTATATTTTTTTGTTTGTTTTATTCAAATGTTATACAATTTGTTATGTATATTGCTGACGAGTGCACTATTGCACAGCTATTTGCATATACTTAATGATGGTAACTACATCTGCTGGAATTGTATTCCTTATGGATATATGGTGGACTAATAAAAATATATAATAAATATATAATATAAGAAGGGTTTTGAAGCAATACATCCTTTAGTTTCCTAATAAACTGTTTTTTATTATGTACTAACTCAATTAAAAAATCAGGCAAACTATTAAAAACTTTTACACTCTTGCAATAGACCCCTTTTTGCCTCTTTGTTAGATGTGATTGAGGAACATATAGGTTTCTAACTTGTCTTGTTGATTTACCATGAATTGTATGATTAAAAGTAAAATACCCCAAATTGTTTATTTTTAGTATCATTAAAGATAAAATATATTGAGAGGCCAATGTCAGAATTTTTAATTTTTAAAAAACTGTTCTACGTGATTCTCTGGGTTTCATTTCCATCATTATCCTGACGGCCTTCTTTTGTAAAAGAAAAATCTTCTTAGCCTCCAACGAGTTTCCCCAGAATACTATCGCATATCTTATAATTGAATGAAAGTATGCGTGGTAAATCATCCTTAGTGTTTCAATATTGCTATACAATTTCATGTTTCTTATTGCAAAGCATGCCTTGCCCAATCTAGACAGCATCGATTCAATCTGTGACTTCCAATTCAGGGTCTTATCAATTTCAGTGCCCAAGAATTTAACGTGGGTTTCCTCATGCAATATCTCATCATTAAACTTTAAATGTATAGACATATTATCTCGATTAATTGTAACAAATTTTAACACTTTAGTTTTTTTCAGATTTAGAGACAGACCATTACATGCAAACCAATGGGTTTAAGAATTTAACACGATGGTAGACCTTACTTGGATTTCCTCAAGATCAGTGCCTGATACTAATATGCTTGTATCTTCTGCATACAACAATAACTTATTATCAGTATTTAGTGCTGATGACAGGTCATTGATATATAAAAGAAACAGCAAGGAACCCCAAAATCAAGCCCTGCGGCACTCCGTATTCAACAATCTCCCATCCTGATCAACATTTTTCATTCCCATTAGTATACAATTCCACTCTTTGCCTTCCATTTCCCAAATATGACTTCAACCATGTTAAAGTTATACCACCAAGTCCATATGCTGCCAACTTGCTCAAAAGGATATCATGAACCACACAATCAAATGCCTTTGTCAAATCACAGAAAATTCCTAATGAATGACAGCGTCATTCCAAAGTTTCTAATATATGATTAGTTAGGGCATAGATAGTAAGACTATTACATTTTCCAGCAAAAACATGAAAGACGCTAAATGTACCAGAGATGTAGATGATTTTGAAAGTAAATAATCTGATGTGAATGTGACGAGTGAGAACTTTGGACAAAAGGGAATGATATAGACAGGGATGCTCATGGACGGTACAGGAGATATATGTTAGAGAGTGGTAAATATATGATACCAGGGCTACAGTCTGACTACTTCCAACCAAGCAATGGAGTCAACATAAGAAACCTAATATGGAGGAGAAACCAGGCAGACGGATTACAAAACTTGCCAGAACATCAAAAGAGGAAGGTAACATTCCCATATTATTAAACGAGCCCCATCACTGTGTAAGATTTGAAGATATGAATGAAGGATTTCTGGTTTTCAGTTCTGAGGAATATGATGTTAATCCATTCCCAGCAGGTACAATTTATATTCGACAGAGTGGTGAATCATCTGATGAATGTAACCGTGATTATGATTACATAGACAGAGATGAAAACATGTATGAGGAGGATGAAAATGTCTTACCTGAGCTAGAATATTATCATGGACCAGCGAAATGTTTTGAAATATTTCTGAAATCAGGAGGTGTTACAGATGAAAAAGTTGTTGGTTATGGTACTCAGCTTTCTGAAGCTGAATCTCTTAGAACAGCTTTGCACGGACTGAATAGAAAATATCGTTTCCAATATTGTCTCTACTATTGCTTGCGTATTTGTTGCAGGGGAACCGAGCTGTTGTCTAGCAATGAATGTCTGCTCTGGCTCCACTATTCCGGCCTTCAGGCGTCAAGTTACAACATTATACAAATTTGGTAGGAATTCTTGGAAGGGGGATCGGTCCATTCCAAGGCCGTTAATTACACAAGGAATTACAAAAATATAAAAACGCATATGCCCCATATATACACAGACCCCAGGTGGGATTCGAATGCACGATGCTATTGTTTGAGTGGCCACTGTAGTAGGCGCAGAGTTTAGATTCGACAGGCAATATGACTAGGGAGGGGAACTGGAGTGGAATCCTAACCAATGGGAAGTTGGCTTATAACTACCACAAAATTCGCCTGAAGAGACTGGGAAAAATCACGACAAAGCCGCAGTCACGTTACCTCCGGCAAATGGATACCCGCTAAATACAAAGAAGCCCCATTACTAGTAATAACAAGTTCGAGGACGTGTTCTTCATTTTCTCTGTTTCATAACTGGCGACCATATTGGCCGCACTATCTAATGCATGAACCGTCTTCGCTCGCTCGAACGCTGGGATCGTGGGTTCGAATCCCACTCAAGGCATCGATATCTGTATGTGTTTATTCTGTGTGTAGGTAGTGACCTTGCGACGAGCTGATCAACCGTTCAAGGAGTCCTACTGACTGTGTATAGATTAAGAAACTGAAAAAGCAGGCGAGGTCCATAAGAACTTTAGAGCCATAGATAGATATTTTATAATTCTTTATGGATTTTGTTGTTATTTATGGTCTAGTGGTCAGCGTTCGATTCCCGGCGCTACCAGAATTGTTTCTGAGATTTAGTGGGTCTGGAACCGGCTCCACTCAGCCTCGTGAGGATAATTGAGGAGCTGTTTCAAGGAAATAGCGGCTCCGAACTAGAAAACCGAAATTAACGGCCGTGGGGATTCGTTGCGCTGATCAAGCGACATCCTGTATCCGCTAAAGTTGGCACTAACTTCTCCGTCAAGCGGCGGTCGCTCGGTCAGTATACTTCGCTTGCGGACTAAAATCACGGAGTATTACGACGCAGTGAGTGGCTAGTCTAGATGACGTCGAATGTTAGGATACTTAATAAACAATGAATTGGAAAGGATTTGGAAGTGTGGCCTAATCTCAGATGACTCTTATTCGGAAGGTTCTCTGTTCGCATCTCGGGCGGGAAACTGACTACCCAGAATCAGGTTTTCGGTGGTTTTTCTCAGTCCCTTCAGGAAAATTCCGGTATATTACACTTCCTCCATAATATTGTACACGGTGATCCTAGAGTAGTAGAGCACAGGAGTTTCACTTTCATGTCACTTCACTGGACAGGAATGCCCACGCAAGAGTAGAAAGGTGTTCTCCGTTGTGGTCAGCCTGCAGAAGGAGTTTACAGATATGTTCTCTGTGAATTTATGTCCCTCAGTTATGTTATGTTCAGATAGGTGTATCAAATGTATCATTGCCATCTACATTTCAGGGCATAGCAAACATTCCTGTTCCAGCTTCAACTTTCCATCTATTTCTTAGATGTCACATGGCTCTTCTTCCTCTTGGTGAATAGTGGAAGCCTTGTATTTCTTGTCTCTATCACCTAACCAACAGGCCACATAAGGTAAATATATCCCTGTAACAGGCCATGGAGGCCCATAGGGTTATGAGATGTCGAGGCTCTCACATTTTCTAGACAGTCTGTTCACAGATGTCGGTGAAGTTGTCAGCCTTACGCGCCGGCCGCCCTTTACGGCTCAGGAAGATTTCTGGTACATATTTCTGTTAGAGGCTGACTCGAAACCAAGGCCATAGTGCGGCTAGAAAGATTAGGTCAATTGAAAAAAACCAGTGACCTCATCGGGAACCTAACCCGCGACCTTCCGTCTTGCAGCATAGTGCCTCAACCAACTACGCTACCCCGTGCCCAGCAAGCTACATGGTACTTTATTTTATCTCATATGGACTACATCAACACAGCTAATATCACATTAGATATCTTAAAATTATGTTTTAGACAGAGATACTAAGTACCTGGAGCAGACGGGATATCTCGGTCAGTATAGCCACGGATTAGGAGCTAGATGGCCGGCCTTCAATTCCCAGCGGTTCAACATTTTTAGCGTCCAGACCGGCTCTGGGGCCCACCCAGCCTCCTATCGAATGGGAACTAAGGGATATTTCCAGGGAGTAAAACGGCAGGAACTTGAAGCTAACCACTCACATCCATCTAATGCCAATCTCAAGAATGGTGCAGCTACACCTCCACTCCCCCACACGTCTTAATTTATTAAACGCAAGGACGACTTTATTTCTTAATAAACAATTGAAATGTTCAACTCCAAAAATGGATAAATAATAGTTCTCAGAGTAATGAACTCAGTCCAGATCCTCCAGTCCTGTTTCTTTAAGATACATTTTAATATTATCTTCCCATCTATGCCTAGGTGTTCTAGATTGTCTCTTTCTTCAAGTACTGCCAAGCTATGTTTACTTCTCTACTTTCGCATGCGCACTACATATCCCACCAATACAATATTAATAATAGATGAATAGGTACGTAATACAATAACTCTACGAAAGGATTCTATAACGACGATCGCGTTCGGAAACTGCATGTACTCCACACTGGAGTACGCTTTCCCGTTCTTGTATAATCTTACAATTGCTTAAAAGTGTCACACATGGAGCAATAGTGTTGGATGTTAATATGTCTCGGAGTTACTACGTCACATCCCTGTTTCATAACCATGTTGTGGGTGCTATTGTTTTGAAGAATGTGAGTTGTACAGTTTTTGTCATAATGCAATTTCATGCATTACTTAATCATAATCTGTACAAGTTTGTACGCTCTGTGTATGAGCTGAGTGACGTTCTCATTGTGTTCACTGTGAAGTACTGTCTTCTGGCACATGCCGGCTTATAGTGAGGGAGTTCAGCGGTGTTTCTGCAGAACTCACTGCCTCCATCCACAGAGTCATACAGCAAACCAAACAATCAACCTACAAGAAGCAATCAGAGACTATTTCTTTTTGTCTCCCATTGGTTGCTTGTTTTTGTCCAGGAAGTTGTAGATAGAGGCAGAAATATCTGTGAATTTCTGCCGGACTACACGGTGTCACATCCCAAAAGGCAATGAACTTTATGGATACCGCCGTGAAAGCCTCGAATCTCGCAAAGAATTTCCATTACAAAAACAAGAGGCTTATTTTCTTTAGGGAAAATAACCGGTATTTGTTTTTACAATCATTAGTTCAAATGTAAAGTTATCTCTCTGCTTAATTAATTTAGCACTATGCGAAAGGCCGAGCCATAGCTCTAGCGGTTAGTGGCTGGCTTCCCACCGCGGCGGCCAGGGTTCGATCCCGGGGACTGGTCATGTGGGATTTTTGGTACACAAAGTGACGCTGAAGAAGGTTTTCTCCGAATACATTGGTTTCCCCTGCCAATCTTTATTCCACCAATTGCTCCACAATCACCCTCACCTATCATCTGGGGCTGGTACAATAGGCCAGAAGTGGCCGCAGTACAACGGACTTCGTCCCACCCCACTAGCAATAAAAAAAACACTATGTGCTGAAGACATGGGTAGTCGAGGTATAGTTCCACTATTCTTGCCTTCGGCACTATATGGAGGTGAGTAATTAGCTTCACGCCTCCGCCGTTTTACGCCCAGGGAAAGAGCCCCCGGTACCCAATGTATAGGAGTCTGGGTGGGACCCAGAGCCGGTATAAACGACGTGGAGAAGAGAAGACTATTGTCTCGAACTTCGGTAGTCCATCCCGTAGTCAGTCGCTATACCGACTTATCCTATGGTCTTTAAAATGATTATTTAGCCTCTTCAGTAGGCATTTTAGGTAGGGAAGTTCTCAAACTCTGAAGATGATGACAGCGGCATAAAGCCACAAATCAGTGAAATGCTATGAAAATAGGTTTTATGGTAGGACAGATGATCAGTCGCCGGCTGGTCCAGGTTGAATCCCAGTGTAGTCCATGTGGGGTTTGTGACTGACGGAATGGCACTAAGCCAGCATTTTCCTCAAGTCCTTCGGCTTTCCGCCCTGCAGTTATAATTCCACCAGTTCTCCGGATCACCTTTCTTCAGGGGCTCTTACAATAGTATCAGGAGGCTTAGGCTCGTCCCACTGTTAGGAGACTAAATCAGCAAACGAATATGTATTTCTTCCCCTTAATATACTCGACATGAGATGAGTTACGAAGCTTCTCTTTCTGTTATAAAAATTTCACTGCAACATATCTCTTGTTAGGGATTGAAAGCTTTTGCGTACTGAACAGGCTAAGAATGTATAATGATTAATCTTTTATTGTAACACTATATATTGAAGAAATTTTGGTTATACTATATTACTACTACTACTGTAAAATGTACTACTAATAACAATGATGCTGTACACTAATCATTTTTTCCTATTGATATTGAGAAAGATATCCGTTAACGGAAACAGAAGTAAGTTTATGAGATAGCCACACTGTCTAAGCTTGCGTATATCCCACATCTGAACCACATTGCCTTAGTATCCATGGAACAGAACCCTTTTACGCTGACTCTTGGGGTTAGGTATGGCGGGTCCAAACAGTATCTGTGAACATATAACCGTTTACTGAATTATATTGAATCTGAAGAGTAAACAGCATTCTGGTTAAGGGGCATATTACTAAAGTGGATATTGAGAAAGGGATTTTGAAAATTTTCTTCAACCATACGGCAGAAGATTAAGATTTTAAAGTTGTGAATAGCATATAACTGTCCCAGTAGAAGACACACTGGAACATTTTGTAACGTGCTAGAGGATCCATAACAGATGCCTTATATATATCTGTGATATAAAATTAAGTGACGTACTGAAGTCTGCTGGAAAATATAAAATATATGTCATATTTTAACGTTATAAAGTAATAATTAAATTATAAAACACGGGAACATAGTAAGAAGTATGCCATGACGGAAAATAATATAACAGTATAATATCTGCTTGAAGTAAAGTAGGCGCGCGTGTGTGTCAAGTATTGCCAATTCTGGAACGCGCTAAAAGAAGTACGGGTTGGGGTTTGAGTTGGATGTGTTGTGTTGATGTCGGTTTATAACATCTTATTCTGAACTCTGCAATGAAGCACGTATACAACTGTAAAATTTATGAAATGCTCTAAATAGATACTAATAATTGTTTTATTACTCTGTGGCTCATGAGGGTGGAGACGATACTAATTATCATGATTTAGAGTGTGAACGACCATTAGTATGAAGGTTGAAGCTACCATGAAATCGACTCTCGATTCATGAATACGTCACTTCCTGTGATCTCCTTTTCTTAGGAATGTGACTTCCTCCTACTTCCTTCAAAGTGTTATATTATTATGTGTGTGTTACAACTCGTCTTCATCTCTGTGAGTTGGTTATTCGATTTTATTACCAGTAAGCTTTAACGCTATTTCGTTGTAATTACATACGTGCAGGACTTGTAACAGTTATACGTTGCATTGTGTGGTGGCCGTAATGGCGTGATTTGTGTTCGCGTTTATTAGTCCATGTTAGTGTGAAAGCATTTATTACTCGTTGCAAAAAAGTTTGATTGGCAGTTTTCAGACACCGAATTTAATGTATTTTTAATTAATAACGCAGAACAGTTTTAGGATATTCCCCGTGGGGCCTGTTCTATAAGAGTGTTTTATTTTTCACGGAAATATTTAGAGAATTGTTGTCTTTTATTTCTGACTATTACAATCCTCGAGCTGATATTTTCATTTCATAAAAAATCGTAATTGTTGTAAGATTATACTGTGCATTGGTATGTAAAAAAATTTAATTGTGTTTGTGTTTTATGAGCAGAACATAGTAGACATTAAATGTAGTGAGATATCTTGAAAGTTTCTGCAAGTTTTTGAGCCTCTCAAGTGCAGGTGTCGAATATTCAGTGTAATCAACAAACTTGTAAATATAACCTACCCATGTTACAGTAGATGCTAGAAATGTTCTTTGTTGCTGTGAATAATTTCATGGCAGACTGATAAAAAAAATACATTCACGGGTTACCCTTCTTTCCGGAAATAGAAGACATTTTTAACTTCAAAACCTATCGTTTCTTGCAAGGCGTGGACTTTTGAGATGAATGTTCAAGCCTACCACAAATTTTATGCAATTTATTTTCAGTAAGTAGTTGACCTTTTTATTATCTTCCTTCCCCATTAAAAGTTAGTTCCATATTTATCCTTCAAATAGCACAGTTTCGAGTTCCAATATGTACAAGTACGTGACAACTGCCATTGGGTGAAAACGACGTATAGATCTTGTTCAATCTTAATATCGTGGTATGGGCGGCAGTATGTCTCCAGTCCTGTAGCTACCTCACTCACACCACCAGTAAGCCTGGGAACAGCCGGACAGTTTGTTTAGCTAATTCGGAACTGAAAGAACTTATCTGCGGAGTTGAATGCAAGGCTAAGCGTTATGTTGAGGGTTATGCTGTATATTAGCTGAGTTTATTAAACACGTGTTGTAATGAGTTCACAAGCGGGGATCGAAGTGGTTGCGAGGTAGGGTCACTGGGATCCCAGGTTTTAGAAAATGTTTCGCGTCATAAATGTGTGTTCTAGTTCTGCGTGTATAAACTGTTATATTACAAACTTCTGGTTTTAAAACTTATCCATTAGTTAAAATTTTGAAAGGGGCAAGAAACAGAGTACATAACACAAAGTTAAGGCATTTTAGTCGAGATATGAATGGACCTATGTAGGGTGTTACGTGTAGTAAGATTCAATTTTGCAGTGATAGGCATTTGTCTTCACTGAATTAGCGCAAAATAGAAAACTATTTTGAAAACCGTATCTATTCGAAATTTTACAGTATTTACTTATTTATAATCTGGCTTCGAATCATGTGAATATTTAATAACTTGTGGGCAAGATTTCTCTCTCTCTCTCTCTCTCCATGTCGTCCAGTCTCCTATCCAACTTGTACCGGGGGCTCCTTCCCCAGGAATAAAGCGGCCGGGTCTTGAAGCTAACCACTCACCTCCAACTAGTGTTGAGGTCAAGAATATTCAACCCCCCCATACGCCTTCATGGTGTAGCGCTTAATTAGTTAAGCACAGGGGTAATTTTACTTTTTAACAGTGCACATGATATTGTCGTGCCATAGCTCAGAGGGTTAAATGCCGGCCTTCCACCACGGCGGCCAGGGTTCGACCCCCAGGTGAAGTAATGTTGAATTTATGGTGGACACAGTAGCCCTGAGGCGGTTTCCTCCTAGGAATTCTGTTTTCCCTACCAATTCTCATTCAGCAAAATGTTCCTTACCCATGTATCATTTGGGGCTGGTCCAATAGGCCATTTAGTGGCCGGTGTGGACTTAGCCTCGTCCCACCCCATGAAACTTGAGGGAAAAACTAATGAACGTTATAGCACCCAATGCAAAATTACTCGCCTTTTCATGGAATTTTCTAGTGTAGTGTAAAATAAGATGGGACAAGCAGGGATTAGAATTTGATGAGGTTAATATTCTGTTACGAATATACAGAGAAATTTTACCTACTAGAAGGTGACACGCTGAAGCAGTAAAATTGCAGGACAGTTCTGATTGTGGCAGGTAGTCGGATTTCGAATATGTGTAAAACCGCAGGGGGGTGGAATTTGTTTCCTCGTTTTTTTGAACCACATTTGCCTGCTTTAACAACACGATAATCTGCGACAGAAAGTCTCCGTGTGACTGCCATGGTACACTTCCACGAATGGGGATTTGAAGAAGTCTCATGCTCCTCTCTTCGTTGATAATTTTTTTTTTGCTACAAACTTTATCGTAAATGAAAATTTGGAGATTTTGCAGTATAAGCAATTTCTTTATATGCGTGATTAAGACCGCCTCTGTTGTCTAGTGGTCAGGTTTCCTGGCTACAGATGTAGAGGCCCCCGGGTTCGATTCCCGGCGCTACCATATTTTCTGAGAAGTAATGGGTCTGGGACGGGGTCCACTCAGCCTCGTGAGGATAATTGAGATACTTGAATGGAAAAATAGTTGCCCCGGTCTAGAAAACCGAGATCAACGGCCGTGGGGATCCGTTGCGCTGACCACGTCACACCATCTATCCGCAAAATTTTTTGACGACGTATTAAAAAATTGTGTTGTGTTTTTCGCGTTGGTTTGTTCGTGTCCGTGATTAAGTGTGCAAGCTGAGAACTCACACATTACCTCCATTGGATCTTATCAACGTTCATCTGAGTCAGAACTTCGAACCCGGGACCTAGCGGCAGGAGCAACGCACAATATGTAAGTAGAACTGAACAGTATAAGTCGCATAGGGTGAGAGCCGAGCCACTTGAAGAAGGCTATGCAACAGATGAGGAACGCCAGCGCGTACCAGCCAATCTCAGGCCGGTACGATAGCAGAGCGCTAGGTAGCCGGATTTGTTGCTGATTATGTTCGCCTTGACAACTCTCTGCATTTTATATTAATTTATTATTAGTTCGTAAGTTTAATTAACCTCCGCGGTCATCACGGTAGCATTGTTGAGTGTCCGAAGTGGGAATTAATACTAATGTTATTATTTAGAGTTCGCGTCCCAAGGTAGTGCAGCTCGCGCAAGTGTCGTCCAAACAAAAAATGTTTTACAAATACGCTAACTGGTTGAGGTTAAAAGTAAAACTTATTTAACCGTCAACTGTCTGGCTTTAGAAACAAAGTAGTTTTCGTATTATGTAGCCATATATTGACAGAAAAGACAAAGTTACCCCTGTAAGAGGCCCTGGAGGCCCATAGGGTTATGAGCCGTCGAGGCTCCTATATTTTATAGACATTCGGCTCACATATGGCGGTGAGGTTCTCAGCTTTACGCGCTAGCCGCCATTACCCAACAGGAAGATTCTTGGTGTTCATTTCTGTTATAGGCCGAGTCGACCCTAGGGTCGTAGTGCGGCTAGAAAGATTAGGCCGATTTAAAAAAGGAATACAAATTTCGGAGGGTTTCATTTTGTGTCTTTGCGTTTTTTTAACACACGGTGTTCTACTTGATGTGTTCAGTCCGTACGACAAATGCGTGATGCACAGAGAGAGAGAGAGAGGTTAAAGACACGCTTCTGTCGTATTTGAATGGAAGAGCAGCGCCTCCGGTCTAGAAAACCGAAATTAACGGTCGTGTGGATTCGTTGCGCTGACTACGCGACGCCCTCTCTATCCGCTAAAGTTGACACTAAGTTCGTCGACAAGTGGCGGTCGCTCTGTCGGAATAGTCTGTTTGCGGACTAAAGCCACGGAGTTTGTTATGTGCTACAAAAAGAGCGGATGGCAAAATTTCACATGTTCCATTTTTAAGCTGCCGGCGTTTAGAATTTGATTAACACAAATGACATAATTTTAATTTTTGAAGTAATTTCCGTTTTAGTGAGTTATGGGCTGAGAGGAAATATGACACCTACATATCGCAACGAAGCGACAGCAAATTGTATGGCAGTGTGACTAAAATACATCTGAACATTATATACTTGTACCTTTTACCATTCATGCTGTGGTCATCTTTATTGCGTCACAGGCTAGTGAGTCTGGTGGGTGTGTCCCACACTCTTGGAGGCACAGTTGCCCTCATCGTCGCTTCTAACCTGACAATGGAAGCAATATGTTTCTGCGAAACATTGGTACCCGCCTTCCAGGCTACATTATATAACGGAAATGACAATAATGTGAATCTTCACCGCTGTACACATTTTATCGTCGATTATGTAGCTATGTACATGCTTCCGTAAATAGGTTTTGTAACGGCCCTGTCAGTATTGAGTCTGTATAGCAGGGTGATTAAATAAATCTGGAGCAGTTTGTGGTATGATAATTGGTAGGGGAGAGCGGAAGTCCCAGTACCATGCCCCACCACAAATCTCACATAATCTGATCTGGAATCGAACCCGGGCAGCTCCGGTGGCAAGCCAGCCACTAGCAACCTAAACTACAGCGCGGGTAACTGCATATCTGTATAGCTTTCTTTCGCCGCTAATTCTCTGATCGAACCAAAGAGGTCTCTGTCATAGACTTAGTCATCTGATCAGGACTGAGGTTCTCATAGTTGTGAATTTAGTGTCAGTGCGTTTGAATTTGATATTCAAAGGATTTGACAAAGAACGGGCCTCATTTGTCTACTGTTCTTTTTGTTGTAAATAAAGCAAAGCTATCCCTGTAACAGGCCGTGGAGGCTTCCATATTTGTTAGGCAATGAGCTCTCAGATGGCGGTATAGTCTGTAGCCTTACGTGCAAGCTGCCCTTTGCTCCCGGGAATATTCCTCGTATTTATTTCCTAGAGACGTTAATCTTGAGAACACATTTCACCTCCCTGACACATGTCTCATTTTGTCATGACGTAGTGGAGGGGTACAGCAGCCAGATAGTCGAATGATTACGCCGAATTA